TGTTTCTAATAGTATCTCTAAGTTTATTAAACTTTTTTTCTCTTATGGCTTTTTCTCTCATAATGGGTTGTTCTACCAAAGTTTCTTTCTTTCTTCCTTTCTTTTTTGCTTAATCCCTTGACCTCTTTCACCCAGCCCCCCCTCCAACCCCCTCCCATCTGACAGCTGTCAGTTTGTTCTCTGTAACTTTGAGTTCATTCATTTAATTGAGATACAATTGAAAGCTGTTTTCTAAGGTCAATTATCTGTTATTGAATACCTAAATCACTTCAAGTCTACTTCCCAACTAGTGTTCCAACTAAAGTGCTCCAACTTCACATTTTGAAGCTTTATTTTTCCAAGCTGCATCAGTTATAAACACAGCAAAATCCTAAGTACTGTACACCATATTGGTCAGATTTTGATACTAATGAAACGGAAATTACCTCACATTCTTGTGAGGCCAGCTTTTCCTATTCCTCCTTTTATTATGAAAAGTGGGGACAGATGATTCAGAGGAGACAGTGGCCTAGCTTTTATCCCACCTCTAAGTTAGGCACATGTCTGCCCATTATACAGACATTTCCTTGCATCCCTGAAGGTAGGATGACCATGGTACATGCCATGGTAAATGGATGTGAACCTATGCTCTTCTTGACATCATAGATTAACAGTGACCAGAGTCCACTTCCATAAGATTCTGCTTAACACAGATGATGGAAAGACAGACTCGGGCACAAGTCACGACTTTAAGGAGCCTATTTTCCCATCTGTGAAATGGGAATATCATTTGACTACCATGCGACTAAAATGGATATGTAACTTGGCATTAGCCATAGCAGCTTGGCTTATAGTGGGTGCTCCATAAAAATTTGTTACAGGCATGTTAATGAATGAATGGATTTACTAAAATGAAGGTGGACACATGCACACACACGTTGGTTGGGGGGCGGGGTCTAGTAGGTTGGTAAAGGAATAAAATACTTAATGTAACTTAGATAAATTAAAAAAAATCAGTTTTCTAGTCAGAAGAATCACTTAGCAGTGCATGCCATTCTGTATTTCATGCAAAGAAGAATCACTGAGATTGTGAAGAAATCAATAAACTATTCTTAAAAAACAAAAGAAACTTGGAGGAAAAAATGACATTCAATACCCTAGAACAGCGGTCGCTAACCTTTCAGACCTCACAGACTACCAGTGGTCCGCGGACCACCAGTTGTCAACTGCTGCTCCAAAGGTTTCCTTAAGTCAGCGGTTGCCAACCTTTTGGACCTCATGGACCACCAGTGGTCTGCAGATCACCAGCTGGTGACCGCTGCCCGAGAATACTTCAGCAAAAATAGTCAAACATTTGTAACAACACTTACACAAATATCTTCAATATGTTGCTATAAGGTAAATTTTTAAAAATTATTTATTTAAATTAAAACTTTTTCTCAATTACAGTTTATACTCAATTATTATTTTATACTAGAGGCCCGGTGCACAAAAATTTGTGCACTCGGGGGTGGGGGGGTCTCTCAGCCCGGCCTGTGCCCTCTCGCAGTCTGGGACCCCTCGGGGGATGACCACCTGCTGGCTTAGGCCTGCTCCCCGGGGGATTGGGCCTAAGATGGCAATCAGACATCCCTCTGGCAGCCTGGCAGCCCTCAGGGGATGTCCACTTGACAGCGGGGAGCAGACCTAAGCTGCAGTCGGACATCCTTAGCGCTGCTGAGGAGGCAGGAGAGGCTCCCACCACCACTGCTGTACTGGCAGCCATCAGCCTGGCTTGTGGCTAAGCAGAGCTCCCCCATGTGGGAGCGCACTGACCACCAGAGGGCAGCTTCTGCATTGAGCGTCTGCCCCCTGGTGGTCAGTGTGTGTCATAGTGACCAGTCATTCCCAGTCTTTCTGCTGTTAGGGTCAGTTTGTATATTACCCTTTTACTATATAGGATAGAGGCCTGGTGCATGGGTGGGGGCCAGCTGGTTTGCCCTGAAGGGTGTCCCGGATCAGGGTGGGGGTCCCGCTGGGGTGCCTGGCCAGCCTGGGTGAGGGGCTGATGGCTGTTTGCAGCTGGTCACACCCCCTTCAGGGTGGGGGTCCCCACTGGGGTGCCTGGCCAGCCTGGATGAGGGGCTGATGGTTGTTTTCAGGCTGGCCACACCTCCTTTAGGGTGGGGGTCCCCACTGGGGTGCCTGGCCAGTCTGGGTGAGGGGCTGAGGGCCATATTCAGGCAGGCCAGCTACTGAAGCTCCCAGCCTCTCCTTTTTTTCTTTTTTTTCATTCTGAGATTTATTTACCTTCTATAATTGAAACATTGTTGCCATCACTGGCGCTCCCAGCTCTGAGGCCACAGCTGGCTGAAAGCAGGTATGTGGGGTTTGTTTAGCTTCTATAATTGAAACATTGTTGCTTTCGGGCTCAGAGCCGGGCCGCGGCAGGCCGGGAACCTTGGCTTCCTCCATCACTGGAGCAAGCAAGCCTCATGTTCGCTTCAGTTGCCTGGCTGTCGGCCGCCATCTTGGCTGGCAGTTAATTTGCATATCACCCTGATTAGCCAATGGGAAGCGTAGCGGAGGTACGGCTAATTACCATGTTTCTCTTTTATTAGATAGGATTAGTTTTAGGTGTACAGCATTGTGGTTAGACAATCATATGCTTTACAAAGTGCTCCCCCTAACATTTCCAGTACCAAACTGGCAGCATACATAGCTATTACAATATTATTGGCTATATTTTCTATGCTGCATTTTACATCCCCATGACTATTTTGTAGCTAACAATTTGTACTTCTCATTCTCTTCACCTTTTACAACCACTCCTCAAATTCCCCTCTCCTTTGGCAACCATTAATCTGTTCCCTGTATCTATGAATCTGTTTCTGTTTTGTTTACATTGCTCTTTAGATTCCACATATAAGTGAAATCATATGGTATTTGTCTTTCTCTGACTTATTTCACTTAGCATAATATATCTAGGTGCATCCATGCTGTCCCAAATGGTAAAATTTTGTCTAATTATCATTTGAGGATGTTTTTGCTGACAAGAGAGAGAGAGAAGAGAGAGAAGAGAGAAAGAGAGAGAGAAAGAGAGAGAGAGAGAGAGAGAGGGGAACATCAATGTGAGAGAGAAACATTGATCAGTTGCCTCCCTTATGTGCTCCAACCCAGGATCGAATCTGCACCGGGATGATGCTCCAACCAACCAAGCCACTGGCCAGGCCAAGATTTTGTTCTTTATTATGGCCATTTATTGTTCATATTTTTGATCATTTTTGTCTTCTCTTAAAGAAGGCCCTTTTTTTATAAAACTGGCTGGTGGTAATGAACTTTAGCTTTTTCTTGTCTGGGAAGATCTTTATCCTTTGATTCTAAATGATTGCTTTGCTGGGTAGAATAATCTTGGTTATAGGCCCTTGCTTTTCATCACTTTGAATATTTCATTCCAATCTGTTCTGGCCTGCAAAGTTTCTGTTGAGAAATCAGCTGACAATCTTATGGGAGCTCCCTTGTAGGTAACTGACTGCTTTTCTCTTATTGCTTTTAAGATTTTCTCTTTGTCTTTAAGCCTTGGTATTTTAATTATAGATGTGTCATGCGAATGGGCTTTTTTGGGTTCATCTTGTTTAGGACTCTCTGTGCTTCCTGGACTTTTATAGTTATTCCCTTTACCAGGTTAGGGAAGTTTTCTGTCATTTTTTCAAACAGGTTTTCAATTTCTTGCTCTCTCTTTTCTCCTTCTGGCACCTCCAATGATACGAATGTTTTACCCTTGAAGGTGTCCCAAAAACTCCTTACATTATCCTTACTTTTCTTTTTTTTCTTTGCTGTTTTGATTGGGTGTTTTCTGCTTCTTTATATTCCAAATTGCTGACTTGATTCTCTGCTTCATCTACTCTACTGTTGAAACCCTGTAAATTATTCTTCATTTTAGCTATTGTATCCTTCATTTCTGTCTGGTTCTTTTTTATGGTTTTCATTTCTTTTTTTATGTTGTTGAAGTTTAAGGTAAATATTCTGAACTAAGTGTTTTTATGGTTGAGGAGTACTTCCCTTTAGATTAAAGCTTTGCTTTCTTTTCCTGGAGGTAAGAACAAAAGATAATTCTGGCTTGTTCAGAGACTGTTCATGAATTTCTTATATTGGGAGCTTTTAGCCACTTGTCTGTTATTTCCCCCCAAAAAACAAAACTAAACAAAAAACAAACAAACAAAAACAAAAAGCCCCAGGGATTAAAATTAATACTAAAACCAGAATAAAAAAATTGGCTCATTGTTAACATCTCTTTGAAGGTTTGATGGCTAAGGACACTGATGAAACTGGCTGTGGATTTTAATGATCACTGAAATCCTTTTCTCTGATTATTGAAGATAATCAGGATTTACAAAGTATGAGCTTGGCAAAACAACTACTTAAAAACTGAGTAAGGCTGAACTGCACCCAGGGTCCAGGAAGATTACAGTACTGAAAATCCCAGGAGCTTAATGTTAATGAACAGGCAAGTGTGCAAAAAGCCTTTTCTGTATTTGGCATCATACTTAAAACTATTATTTACTTCCATTTATCTATTCAGATATTTTTTATGAAGTGACTACATGTAACAATACTAACAAAAACTTTCTCCTTTAAATATGTGATGTAGAGCAAATACACATTAATAACTAAGAAATAAAAAATCTATAATGCTAAATCCTAATGGAAAAGTCAAGCCTTAGTATCCCTACTTGCATAGCTCATGCTCTTCTCTGATAATCAAAAACATCCTTAAACACTGATTAGGTCCCTTTTGGAGGAGTGACAAATATATATATTAAACAGCAATGCTATGGTTGAGTTATGCTTTTCCTTAGTCTACAGTTATTTTCTGTGCCAATTTTATTTTACTATTAATATGTTGAAGCCCAATATTACTTCCAGCTAGGTAATCAAATTATTTGAAAATAATAACCTTCTTTTGTTTAAATGAAGTGATGGTAGACATTTATTTATCAGAAACTTACTAACAGATTTTGAAGAGCTAAAAAATGACACAGTTTAGTACAAACTGTCCTTTGCCTTTATTGCTTGTATACACAAAGATTACATTATAAAACTCAGTGGAAGGAGGAAAAAATAATGAAAGAAAAAGTTACCTGCTTTAGCATTTTTAAGAATAGTTTTGGTAACTTAGATCAACCTGCTAATCTGAAATAGAGCAAAACTACAGTACAATCATGATATAATTCTAATAATCACATCAATTATACTTTCATTTTAAATTTTTTCTTAAAAAACATTAATGCTATAAAAATGAGGTTGATGACATCCTTATTTAAAAGACACCTTGCACTGGTATCAAAATATGACTTATTTTAATACCAACTGAAAAAATAGATCTTATATAGCCTATTATTTCAATGAAGTTTTATTATTACTTTTATTTTCAAAATTGGTAGCAAAGTTACTGTTAACAATATAAATTTTCTCTCTTTTTAAGTGTTGGAATTTCCTTAAAAGTGTTGAAAGGCAACAGACATTCTAGGGTGGGCTTGCAAGGAAAACCAATTATTCTAATATCGATAAATAAGATACTTGATAAATTTATAATTACTTCTTTAATTTCTTACTAATATTTCCTGATTTTCTAGTTTTTAATGCATATCATATTGTAAAAGTATCTAAGTCCAAGCCTTTTCACTGGAGCAATTATTTCCATTTTCCATATTTCTCTTCAGTTTTTCAAATATATAGTAAAACAATCCAATAATTATTACAGGGAGGAATTATCATTTAAGTTGGATAGTGTTCATTTACCTTTTAATCTCATTGGAGAGATATTAACATTAGTCATAAAAGCTTTACAATTTCAACACGCATACATGCCACAGAATTAAAAATCTTTATACCTTATAAAGGGTTCCACTTTGTTTAATGTGTCCTAGTCAAATTTTCATCTAATGAAATATGCTTTTATTAAATACAGTAGCCACCACTTACCTTTAAATATTTTATGGATGAAACTAAGTTCAGTACTGATCCAAGGATGTTGGCATCAAAGCCTTCACTTTGACTATCCCTCAACGTATTGCATTTCTAAAATGCACCACCAATTATTCTAGATTTACCATACCCTGTCTTTAACTTCGTATATAGCATCCTTTGGGGAAAAAAATTTATTCATTTTTTTTTGAGATGAGATACAAGAACAGCATCATTCTTGAGGTTCCACCTCAAAAAAAAAAAAAAGGTGTTTTGCACATAGCTAGTTTGATACCACCTGGTTTTGTTAGGCTAGCCTTCACACAAAGAGCATGCATATACAGCCACGGCTCACGCATCTGTTTGGAAGTTGATTGAGAACTGCTGCTTATTCAAGTCATGGATGCCCCCAAGTTACGCAAGGAGACAGTTGAACTGGATGTCCACCAGGAGAAAAGGAAAATAAACGATGAAACAAATGCAGCAAATATAGGCAGTTGGCATTCAGAACATGCCAAAAAGCTAACACTCATGATTGTCATTATAAAGGTTTTTGTTTCTTTAAAAAAAAGAAGTCTTTCTTTGCATATTTTAAAATTTAACAGTCCTAGAGAATCATGAAGTGCCTTGTCGTTTTTGCTGCTGACTTCTGATGACCTCTAGTTGTTTTTTGCATTGCTGGTAATAAGTAGAAAGGCTTTTGTTTTCATCTAAAAGCTTTTTATGTTCCTGTACCAGACGAGATGTATTTTGCTGGTCCTTTTCATCCTGGTCCAGTTCTGCAACTAGTTCTTGCCTAAAAACAAATACCAATAATAAGATATTCTACATGGAAAAATTCCTATCTTATAGCTAATGATGGAAGCTTAATGAATTATAACTTTTATTCTGGGTCTATCATTATACATCTTAGGTATACCACTCAAATAGATTTATGGGCTGGAATGGAAACTATCAATCACTCTTCTGGTATAAACATACAAATATCATAATTCTTTTAATAAGTAATGTACTTAGATAATTAGTGAAAACAGATAATATGGAATAATAAAAGTCTCAGAACATTTCATTTGATAGCCTTTTTGTGAAGGAAGGAAGAGGAAAAAGCTGGGAAAGGTTTCATCTGACTATAGGAAAATAACACTTAAAGATTTTATAGTTCGCATTCCACTTTTATACTCATGTACTTATATTCTGAAGTCACAATTCTATATAACTACAGTGCAAAGTGGTAGCCAGCAGAACATTTGCAAACTATTTAAAATAGACGCTATCAACTTAAATCTCTTACCTATTTTAAAACTGAGAACAATATAAAGTACCACTTTTAAATTGCATGTCTGCATTTTCAGGAAAGATCCTCAGTAGCCTAATAAACTTTTAAAAGTCCCTTTTATTTGGGGGATATTAAGTATTAGCTCCTGAAGCAAGGCTACTGAATATACCTCAATAATTAATGAAAAATCCTAAAAATGATTTCTGAGTAATATTTCTCAGTTAAAGTAAGTACTTAAATTGACTAAAATTATCATAGCTTTCACATCCCTCAATCTACTATTTGGTTTTTCCAGCACAGAACTTCTCTTTCAAATGATTAAAGTATGGAAAAAGTATAGATTAAACATGTGAAATAAGAAATACAGTTTTTGCTAGTGAAATTACTAGTGTTTTTTTCCAACATAGGGCCTACTCGCTAAAATTTGTTAAAAATAACAGTGAATTAATAACACCAAAAAAAAAACGAACAACCAAAAACCTGTTAATTCAATTATAAGCAAATCTTGGTTAAAAGCATTTAAAAATTAACGGGGCATTCATTTTCACATATGACATATGGACAGGAAATTTTGTCTGTTAAATTGAGGTCTGCAAAATTGAGGGTTTACTGTATTAGGTTGAAATCACTTAAATCACTATTATCAGTAAATTGTGATGAAACTATTTTTTTATTTTTCTTGGAAGTACAAACAGAAAACTTTCCACAGATTACTTCAGAAAACCAGATTATTTTTTGTTTGATGAAAATTAATGGAGGGAATCCTGTTACCATGTGTATATATAGCTTCCATGATTTTTTTCCTACATTTCATTTTAGTTACCACCATAAATCAGCTTCAAAGGCATAGAATTTCATGCAAAGTAAAGATTTTTTTAAAACAAGAAATGCAAATAAAGTTTTATAAAAATTGTACTTTATGTTTCTAAGACAAACCACAACTATTAATAAATCAAATTATTTTACCTATGTCTAAGAAAACAAATCTAAATAGCTTAACTTTATAACTCTGAGAGCATAAAACATGTTTATGTACCACCAGTTTACTTTCCTTAGTACTACTATAATATGATAGTCAAAAGGGTTGAGTTTTGCATGAAAAATAGCCAGAGTGCTTAAATATAAACATATACAAAATCTCCAAGCTAGAAATATGCTTAATGATTAATTCTAAAAATGATAAAGTTTTCATGTCTTTATTTAATATTGCACCTTAACATATTTCAAACTCAAAATACTGAGTTTTAATTTTTATTCATAAGAGATAACTTACTTTCTCTGTAATAACAATGCAATTTCTGTTTGAACTTTCATATATTCTTGTGCCATTTTACAATGCTGTTCAAACACTGCCATAGATTCTTTGGAGTTTGGGCATGGTGCTAGAGGCTGAAAATAAATTAAAAAATGTTAAAACATAATTAAATCAAATCTCATTATCTAGCTAAGATGAGAGTTAAAACAGTTACTGTGATGTATTATTTTTATAGCACTCAAGTAATGACCTTTTAAAAATAAGTGTTCAACCATGCCCTAGAAAATCTGTGTCCTTTTGCAGAGTTAACTCAAACTTAAATTTACACTTGCTGTTTTAACAGTTGTTCCCAAGAACCATGAAGCGTACTCTTAGACTCAAGGCTTTATATTTCAGTTTGCCAAAAGGCATTATACCAAAAAACATCTGGTATAATGGAGACACTAAAGTGTATTATTTAGATATTTAGCCACTATGAACATGACAATATATCACAAAATTTATTACATAGAAATGAGCTTATATGAATTTTATATTTTATTGCACTAAAATTAAAGAACAAAAAATTGCTATTCTTGGCAGTCTTAAAGATATGAGAGTATTTTAACATGACACTTAGGATAAGAACATATGATTTTGCCCATTTTAAATTTAATTAACTTAACTGAATCATTTATTTTAACAAGACGAAGGAGGTTAAAAGCATAAATAAATGAATATACAATGACAGAAACACAAATGTCAGCTTTAAAGATAAATTCTTTAAATTTTTTGTAAGACAAAGTAAACACTGACTGAGAAAGTACAGGACTCCTTTACCTGTAGTTGGTGATCCAGTGTAAGATAGGCCATTGGGATAGAGTTATCTGATCCATTGGTATCTGTAATTTAAGCATGGATTTTATTTATTTTCTGTCATAAATTCTTTAAAACAAAAGCAGGAAAGCATGCATGAAATATTGGGCTTTTTTCCCCCTAAAGTAAATAACATAAAAGTTATTACTGGCCCGGTGGGCATGGCTCAGTGGTTGAGCGTTGACCTATGAACCAGGAGGTCACAGTTCGATTCCCGGTCAGGGCACATGCCCGGGTTGCGGGCTTGATCCCCAGTGAAGGACGTGCAGGAGACAATCGATCAATGATTCTCTCTCATCATTGATGTTTCTATCTCTCTTCCCCTCTCCCTTCCTCTCTGAAATAAAAATATTTTTTTAAAAGTTATTATTGGTAATGAAGAGTCTAGTTCTGAATTCTAAAGGTAAACTAAACAGAGGATATCCAATTACCAGATCATTAGAATGCAACCATACTCTCGTACTTACAATTTAAGTTGGCTATAAGTTAAATAATATTAAAGCTCATAAGCCCTTGTTTAATTAAAAACAAAAAACAGGGATATACTAAAGTGCTGACCTTTTAAAAGTAAGAAAATCTGTGTCCTTTTGTCAGAGTTAATTTAGAACTTAAGTTTACATTGCTGTTTTAACACTTTTGTTGTTATACAGAACCATGAATACAGTACCCTTTATATTTGCAATTCAGTCTTCACAGACTTTACCTAATCAAACCCACATCTGCTTCTTTCCCTGATCATGCTGTTTACTATAAGGCTATGTCAACTCTGGCAACATTAGTGTTCCTTAATAGGGAAAAGGGGAAAGCAAGAGACACATTCTCTTCCAGTGGGTCACCTCCAATGTATATAGATTCTAGTGAGTCCCCAACCCCCCTAATGAGAATCACTGTGGAAAATGAGAGAGATTATTGATTGGGGGTATAGTACACATAAGAAAACTGGCTCAAAGTCATGCCCAAACTGTTAAATGGGTTAATTCAAACAACCAGTCAAATTTTATCAAACTGTTTGAACAGATAGCTTTTGTTTGTATTTTAATAGAGGTAAACTGCCCTAACTACTTGCTTGAGAAGCATGGAATGGCCTCTTCCCGACATTAATATTTAAATACAATTCCAGAAGCAGGCAGGATAACTGTGAAGTAAGATGGACTTTCTATTTCAGAAGTAGCTGCTTTCCCACTGTTAGTAGAGAACAAATGAACTAAACAAGTTTGCTGTTCTTCAGCCCTTTTTCTGACAAGCAACTGACTGAAAGAGTAGTGTGGATAAAGGCAAGGTCAGGGTAGCAGCAAGGCTCTGCAGCCAATGCACGAAAAAACTTAAGAGTTTGATGGCTCAGTAACATCCTGACTTATTGTTGACTGGTACTCTAGTAGCTTTTTGTTTTTTTTTTAAACTATTGAGAATGTGCTTGCAAATAACTCCAAAAGCTAAGCTAACAGACCAAATGATATAATGCATATAAGAAATACCACGCAATACTGGCATATGATAAGCACTCAACACATAGTGGTTATTATTCTTGTTATTGATACTAAATGGAGAATAAGGAAGAGAGGGCGTTTTAAAACACTCAAGTTTGTATTTCAGATTGAACAGTAATGTTTATTAAAGGTAGAATAACAGTATTGCCTAGGAGAGCCTTATTTACCCTAAAATCATACAGTAATATAAAAGTTTTTCTGAAATGGCTAAATGAGAAGTATAGTTAATTTGTTATCTTTCTGACCAACCCTCTCCCTGTTCCCAACAGCTGTTTCAAACTAGGCTCCCATGGAACACTACTTGCCACTAAGTTAAAATTGGTTAAAAATGATTTCTCCTTGCCCTGGCCAGAGTAGTTGGAATGCTGTCCTGTATACTGAAAGGTCACAGGTTCGATCCCCGGTCGGAATGAGTAGGAGAGGCAACAAATCTATTGTGCACTCAAATCTATTGTGCACTCTCGCATTGATGTCTCTCTCTCTAAAATCAATAAACAAGCTCTAGCTGGTTTGGCTCAGTGGATAGAGCATCGGCCTGCAGACTGAAGGGTCCTGGGTTCGATTCCGGTCAAGGGCACATGCCTGGATTGTGGGCTCGATCCCCAGTGGGGACGTGCAGGAGGCAACTGATTAACGATTCTCTTTCATTCTATCTCTCTATCCATCTACCTTCCTTTCTGAAATCAATATATATTAAAATCAGTAAACATATCCCTGGGTGAGAATTAAAAAATAAATTAAAAAAATAATAAATGATTTCCTCTTGACTTTATAGAAACAACTGTCTTGAAAATTTTTCAATTTAACACTTCCACTCCTATTACTCATTCTTAAATCTTTGATACTTGATGTATCTTATTAATCAGTACCCTGTATCTGTGTTTCAGAATTAAGTATAATATGTCAATGTTTCACAATATTTTGGGAGTGGAAAAAAGTCCAAATATTTATTCAAACAATTAAAGCCCTTCAATGGTGGGAACTTAAGGTCCTTTGTTAGATATTAGTTTTTCTCTAAACCAAGAAGTGAGATTTCACTTTCTCACTTATACACAAACTGAACTTTAGTTCTTAGGGTCTAATAGTAATAACTGATTATAAGACAACGAAGAGATATTCCATGAGAGTTTGTTCTTTAATGTTTCAATTGCTAATCAAATTTAATCTTGTTTCCAGAATGTGGAGACTCACATTTCTTTGGTTAAATTAGGCCAAAATATATCTTCTGGCTCCTCAAACACAATACTTATAACCATCTCATATTCTCTAAGAAGGTGTTCCCTTCATGTGTAGTACTGTCTTCTTTCTGCTTTATGATTAAAGAATAAGTCTCACAATTTTACAAAATGTTGCAGACGACACCAGGTTTTACCTAATTGATTTTAGCTATTAAAATTCTCAGCTGGCACTACAAATTTAGTAGCTTATTACATATCATGACTACTTTACTTTTATATGCCTGTATCATGACACTCTAATCAGATTATAACAATGGGCCATGTCTTATACTTCTATCTTGGCCAAGTTCTAAGCCCAGGAGAAACTCACCGGTGAGTTTTCCCAAGTTCTGTGGCTTCCTCTACTAGGCCCAGGCAACTCTCTCACTATACATTTATCTTTTTTTCTTTTTTTAATCTCTACTATGTTATAAATAGAAACCCAGAAACCCACAAGCACTCATTATGTACGATGATTATTAAATCGTTCTGCTCTTTATTTTTCTCTGGAAAATACATAGAACGCTTTCCTATTTAAATAATAGTAATAAAAGAATTAATTAGGTTGTTTTAACTTATGTATGCACTTCTAATTTCTTCCTGAATCAGTGAACCTTCAAAGAAAAACGGTTTATCTACCCCTTCCCTGTAATTTATTATGTTAGCTTGGTTAGCAACACTTTTTTTAGAAATTGTGCAAAGCGGAACTTCATTAATTATAAATTTAAAGCAGAGCCTCAACTTCTAAAATTGCATTCAACATTATTTAAAAATGATAACCACACATTTGTAATAATTTCAAGGCAAAGAAAAAAATCAGTTAATATAACAAGTTGGACCTATATACGATTTCCAGCTATTGATATTTTGTGGTACTTTAGGTTCCAGAAAAGAAAAAAAATGAGATGGGGGTTGGAAGGGTGGGAGAGCACATGAAGTAGAAACAGCAGTTAAGTGAGATGGACCTACGAGAATTTGATTTTATCCTCATGTTGACTTTAGTCCAGGCTGAAGTCAGGAGGCCTGCCACGTGGAGTCCCAGATTTAGGCAAATGCTATAATGTCAGGGAGAGTACTCCCTCACTGAGGATTTAGGAACCAAAAAGAGCTATTACCTGACTGTCAATGATCAAATCTGTCAAAAGCATTTCCCTGTCTGCCTCTGAGCAAAAGCACGTCATGATGAATTCTGCACATGTGCCGAGTAGTGGTAAATGTTTTGAGCAATCCTAGGTTGGATTGTGCTAGGGGTGAAACTTAGAAGAGTTTTTGCTACCGCTAAATTTAAACTTACTAAAACTAGAGAGTACACCCCTGGCTAAACATAGTTCTATCTTACATGACACAGAGAAAGGCCACCCAATTAATTTTTTAAATTATAAATTTGATTAAACCAAGCCAAATATTTATAAATACTTATAAGCAGTATTTTAGTTTGTAAATTCAGAGAGCTGACTTTTTAATTTCAATTTAATTGCCACTATTAATAACATAGTTGATTTTATATAAAATCCCAAATGGTTTAATTTTCCAAGGTCTAAGAGATTGTTGTTTGTTCTCTGACATCATAACATATAAATAATTTTTATAGGAGCATACTGCTGAGTATTTATCAAGGTATTCTTCTAGTGCAGAGGAAAAGTTAATTCCACTATGACATATAATTTTCTGCTTGCCCATAATGAAACTATTCTATCACTAGATTTTAATACTAATATTTTGACCAGTTAAGTTATTCATGTTAGGGAGTTTTAATAACTCTTAACAGACTTTTAAAGGCCCATTTAACAGACTATATAACCAAAATGAAGTTTCCCTATTATTTAAAATTGATTCAAAAGGTCACAATCAGAAATTTTTTCTAAGGTACCTGGTATCTTTAAAACAAAAGATTGAGATGAAGATGATTATTTTTACCATTCTGCTGAATTTAGGGATTTAGAAGATAATGACTTTACTACTACCACCCAGTAGCATGGATCATAATAGGACAATAACAGACTAAAGTATCAAGAATACGATATCTCCTATTTGGGAAACCCCCAAACAAACCATCTTCAAAATACATGTTTAGTATCTGGGTGAAAAAAAATGCGAGGGCTAATGGTCTCCGTCTCAGTACTCAAAAAGACATTTTTAAGTTTATTACTAAATATTTTTTTATTAATATGAAAATCTAAACTACTGTATAATGCCTGCCTTCATTCTGTTGTGTAATTACAATTACAGTAATGACACAACTAAATGAAAATAAACATGGTAAATTCCACTTCATAATTAAAATGAGAAAATAAACTGGTCACCTGTGGAATCATCAGGGGTCCATGGATGACTTCGAGCTGACTTTTCTGAGGTTGGTCCTGAGGTAGTAGTGATCATTCTGATGCTAGGACTGGATGACCTACTGCTCACCTATAGGAAAAAGTTACAGGAGATTTATTTATTTTTTAAATGACAAGAAAAAAATTTCCATTATAAGGCAAAGGACAGAATTGCATTTTTATCAGTAGAGGTCCCAAAACACTCTTGCAAAAAAACCCAAAAACACCTCAAATCCTCTACACACACAATATATATACACACACATCCTGAACACTTGATCACTAATGGTCTAAAGTGTTTGTTTTGACTGCCTGCTGCACCCAGAGGACCAGGTGTAAAATCTTGGGCCTTTGTAGGGTGGGAGTAAAGCTGGAGAACCTTCATGCTTAAAGCCAAAAGCCAAGAAAGGCTTCACACTCAGGGAAAGAAGGAACTAGGAAAAATAAATCTATCCTACGAAAGAAGATAAGCAAATTTGTGGCTCTGGGTGTAGGGGAGAAAATGTATTCACTGTGAATCTGCAAAAAGTTTCCAGAATTGATGAAGATATAACAAATGCCAACCATAACAAATCCCGAGAAAAAAATAAAAGAAAATTTACAATACCGAGTTAAACATGGGGCAAATTATAATCAAGTTCTAGAAAACAAAGACAAATAGAAAAGAGTAAAAAGCAGCATAGAGAAAAGATAGATTACCTATAAAAAAATACCAGTTAGATTCTTAATAGCAACCAGAAGAAATTAGAATTATCTTCAAACTTCTAAAATAAAATAACTGAGAACCATAATTGTTTAGCCAACAAAAATCTGAAGAATAAGGTCAGAATAACATTCTCAGATGAATAAAAACAGAGTCTAGCATTCATAGACTCTTACCATAAGTTTTCTATAACTTTCCATAAGACTCTTTCCATAAGTTCTTCAGGGAGAAGAAAAATGTTTCCCTAATGGAAGGGCCAAATTGAAATGAGGATTATTGGTAAACACAAGTATGAATCCATACACCAAAAATATTAAACAATGAAAACAATGATTAATTTATAGAAATACAAAATAAATAAATAATATGGTACTAAAATCTGAATAATAATAATAGCATCAGCAAGAGGAACATAAATTTAAAAATACTTATATTGTTCAGGATGAGGGTGAAGATATTAACTTTAGGTTGGGCATGAATGTTAAAATTTCACAGGTAATTACTAAAAGTAATAATATACCTAACTCTCCAATCAGAGAGAAAGAATGGAATAAGAAATATATTTATTGAATTCAAAAGACGGCAAAAAAGGAGGTAAAAAAAATAAAGCACAAAATGAGAGAACAGTAATCATCTACCTATATAAAACCCTAATATGCCAATCGACTGAATGGCAGAACGACCTGTGAATGACCGGTAGGCGGGGGCGGGGCTGGCCAGCGGGCAGTTCCAGGCCACCAGCCAAGGCGGGTGCCAGCGGGGGCCTCCTGATCGCCCCGCTGGTCACCCCACAGATCAGCCTTGATTGCCGGCCAGGCTTAGGGACCTACCGCTGCACGAATTTCGAGCACCGGGCCTCTAGTAATAAATATAAATGAATTATATTCTCCAGTTAGATATTTAAAAAATCAGATTATCAGGCTAGATTAAATGCTGTGTAAACAGACATATCTAATTCACAGAGATAGAGAAAACAAAAGGTTAAAGAATAAAACAAGATAACTAGGCAAAAACTACCCCAAATAAGGTTATATAGCTACTAGAGGCCCGGTGCACAAAATCTGTGCACAGAATGTGGGGGGGGGGGTGGGGGTGTCGCTCAGCCAGGCCTGTACCCTCTCACAATCTGGGACCCCTTAGGGGATGTCCAACTGCCGGTTTAGGCCTGCTCGCCTGCCTACCTGATCACCCCTCTGTCTGCCTGCCTGATCTCCCCTAACTGTTCGCCTGCCTGCCTGATTGCCCCTAACCGCCTTTGCCTGCCTGCCTGGTCACCCCTAACCACTCGCCTGCTCGCCTGACTTGCCTGCCTGCCTGATCGCCCCTAACTGCTCACCTGCCTGCCTGATTGCTCCTAACCTCTCATCTGCCTGCCTGATCACCCCAACTGCCTCTGCCTTGGCCCCCGCCATGGTGGCTTCGTCTAGAACAGGGGTGGGCAAACTTTTTGACTCGAGGGCCACAATGAGTTCTTAAACTGGACCGGAGGGCCGGAACAAAAGCATGGATGGAGTGTTTGTGTGAACTAATATAAATTCAAAGTAAACATCATTACATAAAAGGGTACAGTCTTTTTTTTTTTTAGTTTTATTCATTTCAAACGGGCCGGATCTGGCCCGCGGGCCGTAGTTTGCCCACGGCTGGTCTAGAATGACATCGGAAAGGTCGTTCAGCTGTCCGGTCTAATTAGCATATTATGCTTTTATTATTATAGATATCAATATCACAGAGAATATATTTTAGAGCATAAAAAATTACTAGGGCCCTAGCTAGTTTGGCTCAGTGGACAGAGCGTCAGCCTGCAGACTGAAGGGTCTCAGGTTCGATTCTGGTCAAGGGCATATGCTTGGTTGCAGGCACGATCCCCAATAGGGGGCATGCAGGAGGCAGCCAATCAATGATTCCCTCTCATCATTGATGTTTCTATATCTCTTTCCCTTCCTATCTGAAATAAATAAAAATATATTTTTAAAAAATTATTAGGGAAAGAGATTCAGAATATAACAGTTCAAAATTTACATGCTGTGCCTATTACAATATAGGTTGTACCTATACATAGCTTCCAAAGAGATAAAACAATAAAACTTTGAGAAACATTCATGATCAATCATAATGAGATACAATATTTACTAATCCTCTGTAGCCTTAGCTGGTTTCATTAAGTGGATAGAGAGTCAGCCTGCGGACTGAAGGGTCCTGGGTTCAATTCTGCTCAAGGGCACATATCTCGATTGCAGGCTCGATCTCTAGCTCTGGTCGAAGCGTGTGAGGGAGGCAACCAATGTGTCTCTCTCATATCATGTTTCTCTTTCTGTCTCTCCCCATCCCTTCCATTCTCTCCAAAAAAAGTAAAAAATCAATGGAGAAATATCCTCGGGCGAGGATTAACAACAAAACCCCCCTCTGTAAATGATACATAAAATCAGACCAAGGAACAAAACATGTACACAGTACAACCTGAACTCCATGAACCCTATGCCTGAGAAATGAGAACATGAATTTTTTAAAGCACCCAGGGAACATTTATGAAATCTGGTCATACAGTAGGCAATGAAATAGTTCTCAAAAAAGTTTAAAAATTTAGTATCATATAAGCCATATCTTTTTGTATTGATTCACAAATAATCTTTAAAGAAACGCATGTTTAAACATTTAAAAACACTTCTAAATAACTCACTGGTCAAAAAAAACAAAATGAAAATTAAAAAGTATTTGAACTGAATTTTAACTCAAATCACACTAAAACTGTGGCATGCAACTAAAGAAGCACTTAGAGAAAAATATTTAATTTCAAATATTTATGTGAAAAAGTCAGAAGCAGTGATAATTTACAAGCTAAGGATTTAACTTACATAGTTAAAAAAAAAGAGCCAAGCTATAAGCTTCCCAAAAGAAACAAAATAAGAATAAGAGAATACTATAAAAATTTTGTGGTTAGTAAATAAAAAACAAAAACAAAACAAACCAAAGTGAAATACTAATTCCAAAAAACATATAAATTACCAAAATTTCTATACATTATAGAAAAATACAAAAAAACCCCTCAATCCATAAATTATGAAAAATTCTATACTTTATAGAAAATAGCAAGGTTTTACTGGTGAGTTCTACCAAATATCCAAGAAGACATTTTTCATCTTAAAGAAATTATTCTTGAAAGAATGAGAAACAGTTCCTGACTCATTCAGCAACAGAAATATATAAAAGTTGAGGTTATTCTACAAATGAACAGGTCACTTGACATTAGGAATTCTATTCATGCAATTCACTATATTAAAAAATTAAAGAAAAACCTCAATAGACACATAAAAAGTATTTCAGAAAATTTAACATCCATTTATAAAAATACATTTAACGAACTTAAATGTCATTGAGAATTTCTTAGCCAGACAAAAGCTACTAATAAAAAGTCCAGAAACAGAATATACAATAGAAAATGGCATTGTGGGTTGGCGAGAGGATGACACGTAGGTCACAGGTAAAGAATACAAGGAGACTCAGGGGCATTGATCATGTTCCCTTTCTTATGTTGGGTGGTGGGCTCATAAGTGTTCATTTTATCATTAGGTTTCATTGCTTACATATTACATGTGTTCTTGTCTATGTATTTATATATCATATATTTAAAACTCTCAAGGACATATAAACTAAAATGGATTTCATAAGAATTTTTTTTCTTGAGGTGTTATTAAATACCCAATAGGATATGGAGTTATATAACGTCAAACATAAAAAATAAATTCATAAAGGATTTTCTGTCCAGTTTCAGTATGTAAACACAGGAACACTCAAAGACTGCATCAAATAAAAATGAGAGGCTGCACAGTAGTGTAAAGTACCCTTCAGGAGAAATTATGAGATATGAGTTCTAATTATGGTGTAATGTCTGATTTAGTTTACCTCAAGAAGTCTTGCTTTCCTTATCTGAAGAAGGGGTGGGGCTGAGTTAAGAATGTGATGACTTTCAGTGTTCCCTCCAGTGCTAAAATTCTATGAGTTTAAACATTGAAAACCCACAGTGGACTGAGGATACTAAATAATGAAAGGCACACATAATAATTTAAGAGATTAAATCATAAAATAATTTGGAAGAAAAGAAAAAGTGTTGGAATGTTAGTTTCTTCTGGGTACCTATTGAAATTGCTTCAGAAATTCCCAAAAGCTTTTCTATACCATTAACAATTTAAAAACTCGGTATCAGACTGGTAGTTCCAAAACCTTAGTTCATTCATATCACTTATAAAGGAGCCCTGTGCACTACAATGCTCATTCTGTTTTCTCCTTGCTAATTCTTCTCCATCATGTAAGGCCCAGCTCATGTTCCCTTCAACAGATTTGCTCATTTTGCTACATCCCTGGCTCTCTGTACACAAAGCCAGAACCTGTGT